AAACTATTTGGAGTAAAGAGCTGCCCGAAGTTCGTCAAGTTGCATCTCACAATGTTCTTCAGCAAAGAAGCGGCCCGGCTAAATCTACCGAAACTCTTTCGGTATGCGATACTTTCAAAAAAATTGTATCAGTTAAAATGATTGATCAAATAGTAAGATACATGAATCAAAAGGCGAAGAAAGTCTATTATACTTCCAATTCGGCTAACCAGGATAACGATAGGTCATGGCGGCCCGTAACTACATCTGAAATATACGCATTTATCGGCATTTTGATTTATTCGGGAGCAAATAACTCAAATACAGACCACATGAACGAAATGTTGAAAAGCACTTCCTATCCCCTTTATCGCGCAACAATGGGGTTGAAAAGGTTTCGCTCAGTTTTGCGATTTATTCGTTTTGATGGTGCGAATACGCGTCAAGCACATGTAGAACAGGATAAGGGTGCTCCTATTCGTGATATATGGACGATGCTCAATGCAAATTTGAAAAATATTTACAAGCCAACGCAAAACTTGACTATCGATGAGCAACTCTATCCTTTCCGTGGACGCACTAAATTTACCCAATACATTCCTTCGAAACCTGCTAAATATGGTGTTAAAATTTGGTGGATTTGCGACGCTGAAAATGCGTATTCTTTGACGGGAATTATTTACACGGGTAAAGTTGGAAACATATGTGAAAAAAATCAAGGAGAGAGGGTTGTAAAAGAATTAGTTACACCATTTAAAAATAGTGGAAGAAACGTTACCATGGATATTTATTTTACTACTCTAACTCTTGCTAAACATTTGCTTTCGTGGAAAATAACTATCACAGGTACATTGAGAAAAAATAAGCCTTACATACCTAAACAAATGGGTGCAAATAAATCTAGAGCTGAATACTCTACTCTCTTTGGTTTTCACGAACGTCACGTTAGTATTTGTTCCTACGTTCCTAAGAAAAACAAAGCTGTAATCTTGCTTTCAACTATGCACAACAATATAGCTGTGCATAATGACGAAACAAAGAAACCCTACATGATTACTTACTATAACAAATACAAAGCTGGGGTAGATACGATGGATCAAATGGTAGGTCGTTACAGTACTCACATACGGACTCAAAGGTGGCCACTCGCAATGTTTTTCAATATCATCGACGTTGCTGCACTCGTTGCGTACATAGTTTACTATGAAAATAATAGTATGGTAAAAAAAAACTCATCAGCGTCGTATTTTCTTGCGTTAATTGAGTGAAGAGTTATGTAAGCCTGCTATTGAAGACCGATCAATAAATAATCAAGTAACACGCCACCATTCCACCAAGAATGCTATCAAGGATATACTTGGCGTTCAGCTCGGTGCAGCTCCGGAAGTCGAGAGAAATATCGAGCCTCGAGATAACACTGGTAGGGTTAAAGTCTGGCTCTTGTCACCTTTGTTATAGATTAACAATAAAGAGGCGTAGAAAGACGAGGAAGAGTTGTAATTTGTGTGAAAAACCTGTGTGCGACGAGCATTGTGCGAAAAAAGTAGTTTGTCTCAATAAATTTAAAATTTATTATTTTGAACTCATAAACTTATAATAAATTATTTATTTTATACTTGACAACTATTGTAATAATTTATTTATCAACCTATCTTGTTTGCTAGTCCTATTCATAATAATAAAACTCATTTCCACAGAAAAATCTCACTTTTCGTATACGAGTAGTGGGTACCCGGGTACCGGGTTGCCCCCTGTACCTACTTTTTTCAACAGCCGAAAATTTGTTGAAAAAAAATTTTTTTCATACATGTAACATAGTGAATCGATTCTAAAATAGCCAAATCATTTGGATCCGGGAGCTCGGATTGTAAAAAAATTTTTTCAAGGAATTATCAACAAAATAGTAAGGTGGTGAGTACCCGGGTACCCCGTTGCTCACATAAGGGTTAAATATGTTAATCTTTTTTGTGATTTACTGCAGCTCTCGATATTTAAAAATCAAAGATTGAAGAAAATAAATAAATTTTTATTTTTTTTCATACTAAAAGAACGAAAAAAAAAAATTTCCATTTCTTTATTTTAACTTTATTTCCGTGTTTAGGGGCATAAAACAAAACTTTTTTCTTAACGACTATTTTTTCAAAAACCAATAGAACTCGAGGTAATGATAGATTTAAAAAATGGTTGTTTTTTTAAAAAATGACTGTAACTCTGATAAAAAAGATTACACTAAAATCCACGAGTGATCTTAGTAAAGTGGAAGTAAATAGCTTTTGATTTATGTTGGTATATTTATCCTCCTATTACGAATTCTAAACTGACATTGATTTAAATAGTGGTGAACAAAATTTTTTAATGTTTTTTAACATAAAAAATAACATAGTTTTTTATATTTTTAACTTTCTTCACGTGTTAAATAGAAATTATTACAACAACCTAAAACACACTTCGAATTTTTTTGATACAATAATTTCCAACTGAATTATAAGATTTTAAAGTTTGCCTGATTTTGGTTTAGGTATGGCAAAAGTCATTGGTCGGGACTGTATATTCAGGAAACGTAAACAACTCGAACTGAAATGCAAAAAAATATACTGCCTCATAGGAGCAAAATCGGAGCTAACATTAAAAAATAAAATACTGTTATTTAAAGCAATAATAAAACGAATATGGAATTATGGTATTTAACTATGGAGAACCGCTTCAAATTCGAATATTGAAATCTTGAACAGATTTCAATCAAATTTCCTTCAGAATATCATACGGGCTCCACGGTTCATACCAAACGACATCATTCGAAATGACGTACAGATTTCAATAATGAAAGAATAAATTGAAACGTTTTATAAAAAATACAACATGAGACAGCACAATCATCTAAATAAACTTATCAACAAACTACTCTATACATCTATAGTCAACATCAGACTCAAAAACAAAATAATGAAATCATAAATAAAATATAAATAAATTAAACAGATTGCTATATGTACATACAAAAAAAGAGAGAATACTCACTGGCTTATCCTGCTGTAAACTAGGTATTTATATGTTAAATAATAATAATATTTACTTATTTTCTCGATATGACAGGCAGATTGTAAAATAACTTGGAGTAAATAAAAAAAAATTATTGTTAATTTTCATCAACATAATAAAAATAAAAAAAAATTTGCAACCGTAGTCGATTCAATTAATCGATCTGTTCGCGATCCTGCTACTCGCATGTTAGTTCGAACGATTAAGAGAGAGAGAGGACGCGCGAGCGTTTGAAATAGGCCGTTACGCCTCAGCTGGTTTCGCGATAATACCGCCAAATTATTTTGCACTGTGTTTCGCCGTTTACAAAGTTTTCTGGAACGATTTTTTACGTGCGTGAGTGCAACAGCATTGTCGCGGCAACCAGGTGCTCCAGGAGGTCCATGATGCTCCTACAGCAGGACATCAAGGACGAGAGCGTACGTTCTCCAGGGCTAGGCGATTGTACTACTGGCCTAAGATGTACAATCAGGTCAGGGAGTACGTGAAGAGTTGCCCGGTATGTCAGCAGTGCAAGGTGGAACAAAGGGCACCTTGCGGGCTGATGGGTCGTAGACAAGTGTTACGACCCTGGCAGGTCGTGGCCGGTGATATCACTGCTCCGGTTCCCAAAAGCTCTCGAGGTTTTAAGTATATCTTAGTCTTTGTAGACTTATTTACTCGCTGGGTAGAGTGCGTTACGATATGCAAAGCCAATGGGAGGACAATCGCAAGGGAATTACACGAGAGGATTGTCACTAGATTTGGCGCGCCAGAGGAATTCTTGTCGGATAATGGAACCGAATTTAAGAATCAGGAAGTCAATTCATACCTCCAGATGACCGGCATACAGCGCGCTTTGACTCCCGTGTATCATCCCCAAGCGAATCCCACTGAGCGATTAAACAGGACGCTCAAAACCATGATCACGTCTTACGTGAGCCGTGATCATAAGAGCTGGGACGAACACCTGTCAGAGTTCAACTTCGCGATAAACTCGGCAACACATAGCGCCACTGGAAATAGTCCTGCGATACTCATGTTTGGGCGTCAGCCGGTACCTCCTTTGACGTTCAGAAGAACCCAAGATCAGCAGGCCCTTGAGTGTTCGGAGGCAAGCTGTGGTAGATTGGGCTGAATATGTGGAGAAGCTCTCTAATTTATAGGAGAGGGCCAACTCCAAGTTAAAGGAGGAAGCTGCGCGTCTGGCGGCTTATTATGACCGAAAGAGACGGCAACCCGAGTTTAAGGTCGGAGATTGGGTTTGGAAGAGAAACAGGACTCTCTCTTCGGCTGCCCAAGGCATTTCAGCCAAATTGGCACCGAAATATGCCGGTCCGTACGTGATTGAAGAGGTTTGTGGTTCTAACACGTACAGACTAGGCAATCAGCTGGAGATCCTGCTCGAGCTCTTCCATGCCAAAGACCTTAAGCCGTAATAAGGTCCGGGTGATAAAGAGGAAAGCGAGAAAGTCATCGATCCTCGCGAGCCGCAAAAGATACAGCCGTCGGAGGCGAACGAATCTGCAAACGCGTGCGAAGATCCGAGGTGGGATTTATCAAGCGAGTGGATCGAATTAGCAGCCCCCACGGCCGTAGATAATGATCCCACCGAGACGTCGGATTTGCCGGTATCTGCACCAACCAAGACAGGTCGAGGTCGACCTCGAAAGGTCCCAGAGACGGTCACCGGTCAAGTAAGAGGCAACAATTCTCCCTTAAAGGAATCTAGAGGGAGAGGTAGGCCTCGAAAGACCGTGTCCGTCGTGCAAAGGACGGTTGGGCCGATAAACCCGATCGGCCCAACCAGATGTTTAAAAATCTTACAAATAAGATTTGAAAATTAAAAACTTGAAACTACAATTTCCTTCCTGTTTTTTCCTTAGGACTGTATCTCTCCAAGTTATCCCTTGATGAAAACGACCCCAAAAATGTGTTTTTTTTTATATTTTTTAATTTTTCTGAATAGTGTTTACATAAATTATATAATAACATTATATTACCTTAGTTTGCGGTGGGAACCGTTTTCTTTTGGAATTTTTTCTTGAGAAATATCCAATTCCTATAACAGAAATATAGATTTTAATATTATTATGTATATTAATTTTATCAGAAAAGAGTTTTTAAACTATTATATGAAAAAATAATGTTAATAAATACAATAAATGAATAAGTTTATAATTATCAAGGAAGCGTTTTCAACTCTCCGCCTCCAATTTTGCTACAATTTAGGTGTTATGGCTTGAATAATAAATGCAGACATGTGGTCGTCGCTCAGGCCCTCTTGGCGTGTATCTACCGTAATCCGGATAACATTCTGTAACGGTTTATAATAATAGATACACTACTACATTCCCAAGATAAAGAAACGGTCAAAACAGTGGATTGTTATAGAGGAACGGACACTAGATAGATAAAATCGGTTAACTCGGCGGGAATGTTTATGCCATAGTACAAGCATTCAATCGAGGAGAATGAAAAAATTATGGCCCGAAAAAAAGAATTAAATAGTGTATACGCTATTGGATTGTGACGAGGGCAAGCAGCACGCAGAATGCGCCTAACACTTGGCCTCTTTTGTTTTCAGTGCCGAGGACTGATCAACGGAACCGAACGTGTTGAAGTTGAGAATCGCGGAGCCAGAGAGAGAGAGAGAGAGAGAGAGAGAGAGAGAGAGACCTAAGAAATAGGTCAAGTGGGGAGTAAAGCGAGCGCTAGCAGGCGGCAGCGTTAAGGAGCGCTAAGAAAGTGCTTCCTCCGACAGTTGAGTTGACAGAGCCCAAGGTTCTGTAATAGCGTCGGCGTGCAACGCCGATATATTCACTACTATTACCAATTATTTATAAAGGGGGAAGGCAAGGGAGGCGGTGTATCGCTCCAAGCAAAGCAGGAAGGAGAACAGCGGGCAAATGATTTCACACACACAACTCGTTGACAAACCGTTTATTACAACGCACTACCTAGAGTGCCGACGAGAGTACAAATCACTTATCACTAATAACACGCGAAACTTAGTCTAAACGAGATGATCGGCACGTTAGCGCCATGTCACCTCGTTAACCGGCTCAAACAATTACTTAAATTACACACTGCCGAAAACTACGCCGGCTCGGAAAAGCCTGGCATAGCAACGCGAACCGTGAGAATCGCCGAGGAAAGGAAGAGATATAGAGAGAGAGGAATCGGTGACCTGACCAAATTCTGGTGGACGTCGCTGTTGCTGGCGGCCTCGAAGGTGTCCCACCGGCGACTAGGCTGGAAAACCCCTCGCTGCTGCGTGGCCGGCGACCTGGCAGAAAAGGCTGTCGGGTTCTGCCTCGATGACGGCTTCTTGCAGGGCAACTGCTGCGTCGCTGGCAGAGGAAGTCCCGTCCGGCCAATCTGCTGAGGAATGCTGACTTCTTCCCGAACAAAGGGCAGGGAGCGATGGTCACGAGCTAACTCTCGTACGACTGATTGCTGTCGCGCGCGTCGCGTAACTCTCTGTCGCGAGTGCATGAGAGCCAGCTTCTCACGCTTTCTCCCACCACTCGCCTAATCGGCGGCACGCGGCAATGCCCGTCGCGACAAGTGCCGCGCACCAAGCCCAACACTCAAACTATTGCTTTTTTCTCTCTCTTTCTCTCTCTCTCGCACTCAATACTCGAACGCGTCGTCACGTCCACGGCTTCTCCTTCCACCGCTCTCGTGCGTAGCTGAAAAATAAAAGGGCAGGCATCAAGCACGTGATAATAACGTGCGCTTGATGCCGGCCGTGCGCCTTTGCCTAGGAAGGAGAGGGAGGCAAGCACACGGTGCAGGCCATGACGGGCCTACACCGTCACAGTTCATCAAAAAAAAAGGCATCACCGGTAACTTCCAGCCTGACACCACCAGCAATCGCCAGCTCGGACCAGCCTTCAGCAACCAGCCCCGGCTTCGTGCGGCGACGCAGAAAGGTTAAACAACATCAATGCCGGCGGCAGCTCTCTTAGGAACAGCTTCGCTAACAGCAGCTCTTCCTCGAGAAACGAGCGGATTCCCAGCCAGGTCAAGTTCTTTGCCTTTTTCATCTTTCTCTCTCTCTCTCTCTCTCTCTCTCTTAAAATACTTGGATAATGTTCTAGGCCCAAAATAAGACGACCCCTATTTTTTCTTTTCCCCCCAAGATGCATAGGTGCATCAATAACGTACTTGAAAGATGCACTTTCAGAAAACAGACTAACAAAAAAAAAATATCGTATTCAATTTCAATCGATTTGCGCATGCTTATTTATCATCGGAATCGAATAAATCTTTTTTTATACGATAGAGAAATACAGAGCCTTCAAATCTATGCATTAAAATAAATGCACTAATGCATTTTCGAGAAGATTATGCACTTTTTCCAAAAAAATGCATCTCATAAAAAACTCGATTTATTTAAAAAACCCCACTTTTTTTTGCGCTCATAATTTTTATAGAGATTCTCTGATACGCTACCTTCAATCCAGTATAGGTCCCATTTTCGGTTTCTACTTCGTTACTGAGAAAAAAAAATTTTTCAACTAGAAAATTTTTTATGTTGACTATCTTGCATTCACACTCACGAGCATTTAAATAACATGATAATCGGTGAGTATTGACTTGTTATGATGTCAGCTGTTGTCATAGACCTTTATGTGTGTAGTCCTGTTTGTGTATACAAATTCCATGATACTTATAAATAGTCTTATCATTTATTTAGTAAGTAGCGACAGTGCGTGTTTGAATTTCTGCTTGACAACATGTCAGCTATGTTAACGTATTCTACGCAAAGATTAAAATGCCCCAATTATTTCAAAGTACATACTAAAGTGGTGTATAATAGCAACAAAGTGAATTTTCAAAAAATTGGTGACTATGCTGTATTTTTACAAGGAAAATTTACAAATCCTGATATAAAAGCTAGTGACAGTGTGTGTAGTAACTGCTATAAACGTATCGTTAAAGCTTGCGATGCAATACAAGCAGAAAAAGAAGAAGAAACAATGTCAGATGACAATATTTCAATGGAAGGGAATGACGAAGAAGACAAGTTTATAGACACCTCAATTTTCATGGATGAATTTAATGATAAAATAATTGCTAATTTAGAAAATTCAGTATCTCCTTTGCGTAAGAAAGGAAACATAAAAAATACAAGTGTTGAAAAATATGTTATGAAAAAAAAGAGAGAGCTTGTATCATCATTCTCTGAAGCTACAAATTGTAAATTACAAAAGATTTATGATGTACCTATTGAGGAGCCTGTAAAAAAGTTAAATGATTATTTCCCTCAAGAATTGAGAGAAAATTTCTCTAAGGCCTTCAGTAATTGCTCATGTTTTTCAGAGGTGATCAAACTCTTAACAATTATCGTTCCTTTGTTAACAAAGTTCGAAATTTTGACGTTATTTCCTGAAGTTACTATTTACATGATTGATAAGGCAAGAAAAATTGTTTCAAATCAAGGTAAAAATATAAATTTTTTGTTATGTAATAACAATCAATGCACAATTTTTTTGCGTGTTTTATTTTTATAGCTATTGTTATATTATCTCTAATCCAGGTATTTATACTAAACCAGAGCAGTACAATGGTCATCCACTGGATAAAAAAACAGGCGATATTGTCATGCAATATTATTTGAATGATGACTTCAATTGTTCGAGACGAAGTCCTAATAAAGCAGATGTTATAACAGTAAGAGAAAATGGCACGAAAGTTAAAAAAGTCAAGCGTTTTTTAACCCGAAGTTTAAAGGAAGTATATCACACTTTGAAAGAAGAGAATCCGGGTATAAAAATTAGCAAATCTAAGTTCTATTCCATGCGTCCAAAGCATGTTCTAATCGAACCAATGAATGACGTATGCTTATGTATTTATTGTGCCAACTTTGAGCTGTACTTAATTGCATTGAAAAACTTTATTGGTAAAAGTAGTGTTGACGTTTGCCGTTTACGTTTGACAGTTTTATCTTCTGTAGTATGTCCAGCACCTCAAGAAACATGTTACTATCAAGAATGCGAGTTGTGTCCAGGTGCTGCGGGTGTCACATTTGACGTTTTGCATATAGATGAAACAGAGAATGATAATAATATAACGTTTGCGCTGTGGAATAAAGGAAACTTAGAAACTAGAACAGTATCCGTCGCTACGTTCAAAGAAGAATTTACTAATCATGTAATTACAGTAACATCACATTTACGAATCAAAGAAGTACAGCGGTTAGCAATTAAAAATGAAAAAGAAAGAGTAAAATTATATCCCCAACATTTGCTAATACATATAGATTTTGCTGAGAACTGGTCAGTGATTTCAAAAAATCCAGTTCAAGGCAATCACTAGGTAAATAAACAAGTCTTTCTCTTCACTGCTGTCTGCTATGTAGGCAATGTCACAAAAAGTTTTGTGGTAGTAAGCGATGACTTAAAGCACGATTATTCCCACGCTTTACTAGCGATGCAAAAAATTATCGAAATTATTAGCGAAATGGAGGAAATTAATGGTGGTTCAATCAATTCTATTAGTATAGTATCTGATGGAGCTGCGAGTCATTTTAAAAACCGCTTTCAAATGCACGAATTCAAAAATTCAAAAATATTTAAGAAATGGTTATTTTCTGCGACTGGACATGGTAAAGGTGCTGTTGATGGTATAGGAGGTTTGGTGAAGCACTATGCCACAGTGCATAATTTACGTAGTTCTGAACTTGAAGCCATTCAAGATGCGAAGTGCTTCGTTGAACATGTTCAAAAGTACACTACGTCGATTAAATTGATTTATATGGAAGCATTTGAGGTTCAAAACTTTCTTAATCAGAAAATGGCAGAACGAATGGTGTCAAACAAATTCGAAGGCATTCAACGATGTCATATGTGGAAGTCAGTGATATCTGAAGGTAAATCGACATCGTTCATAGCTCGCACTGCTGTTCACTCTTGGGTAAAAATAGAAGAAAATAAAAAGAAAAAAAATCAAAGGAAACGTAAAACAAAGAAAGTTTCGGTTAAAGCTGGAAAAATGTCTAAGAAACCTAAGAATGTCAAGAAGGCTAAAAAGAAAAAGAATGTAAAAAGAAAC